CAGCTTGATACCTCCACGCGTTCCTGAGAAAAAGGGTCTTGACAGACAGATAGACAAGAAAGTGATCCTATAAGGATTCCGTTTTTTTCCTTTTGAGGTACGGAACCCTAAAAATGAATCTCTTCTGGGTTTTGTTTTGTATTCGACAGATTTAATAAAATAGCTTATGTGAATAATTTTAAAATTAAAATACGTTAGTTACCATGATTAGGTGGCATTCAACACATTGTGTTCTATGCCCTTCCGACGAAACCTTCGTATAATTGTGATCGACCTTCTACATAAATAAAAATTCTTGTAAATTCGTTTAATCGTTAATTATGAAAGGTAATTTGCTAACTACGCTATTAGCTAGTGCTCACGTAATACATCACAGTCATTGGTCTATTATGACGTGATAAATTTACGTTCCAGTTTACTAAGAGTTCAGAATTATATTTAAGTTACTAGCTGTGCCCAGCGGTTTCACCCGCGTATATCACGCGTTTACGCCTTGCAACATGCAAACTTCGAGAGGAGACATCACGACGGACGGTTGCTGAATTAATAAAGATTTAAAAAGTGCAATATGTTACTAAAATTACATGGTTAACGTAATTGGTGGCTATGCATGGTACAGGTACTGATATAGCCTTGAATACGAAGTGATTTATTTGGATATAAGGATTAATACCAAGGCCTAGTTTGTAACGGCGTTACTATTTCATATTCTAACATGAAAAAGTAGTTATTGTGACATAACTGTAATAGTTAAACCTATGGTATCGCAGGTTTTTTGTAGATATTGATATCCTCTATAAAACTGAAGTACATTACTTTGCTCTATTATCAATAGTTTCCGCAGCGTACGCGATATAAGGATTCTTTTTGGTATTTTTTTCACACCTTGGGTTACATTAACGAATTTTTTCTACGGATCCCTAACTTTTTTGAAAATATTACATAGCCTTTATTCATCAGGGATAATGTAGGATTGTAATGGTGAAAGAATTTTTCAAATCGGTCCAGTAGTTTCGGAGCCTATTCAATTCAAACAAACAAACAGACAAGAAAGAAAGAAATCCTTCCTCTTTATAATATAAAAAAAAAATATATATATATATATATATATATATATATATATATATATATATATATATATATATATATATATAATAAAAATAAAATAAAATAAAATAAATAAAATATATAAATAAAAATAAATAAATAAATAAGTGTAGAAGTGTAGATTTAGATGTAGATTAGCTTTATTATAAATAAATAAATTTTGTAACAAGAGGTCACATTTTTATTCGATTATACATTTATATTTTTAATCATAGTAGGGAAATCAAAGGAAAAATAGAGAGAAACAAATCGCTATAACAATAAAGTGTGTTCCTACAAAGTTTGCCCTGGGGTATCCGGAAAGAAAGTTCAGGGAAAAGTTGTTTACGTGTTTTCCACTTCAGTATCCAATCAATTGAGTGGATAACGCAAATCTTACTCATGTGGCACTGATTCTGTTTTGGTTCAATAATATGTGAGAATGTTTCTCTGAAACCCGACTGAACAAACAATTATTATGGGTGAAAGTGAAGTAACTTCTGTTAAGGCTGGCTTGTAGTAGGGTGTGTGTATGTAAACGATAACTCACACCCAACAATTGTTGAGGAAATCAGCAAAGCGGGGAGAATTTTAGAATAAACATAGTACGCCCAATCTCACTGTCTTAGCGGGCACTGGCTGGGGGCGGGTGCGAGCTTGAACTGCTCGACTTATTCTTTTTTCAACAAAACAAATATACGAAATGTATTCTAAACATGACCTTTTTTATAGGATAGAGTGACAAACGAGCACACAGTCCACCCGATGGTAAGTGATTACAGTGACCCATAGACATCTACGTCTATCCTCAATAAAGGCTCAAGATGCAGATGCGTTGTCACCCGTGAGGACTAAGATGGAATGCCTCATTTCCAGTAAAAAGGGTCTCCGGTTCTCTACACTCACCATACGAAACACAGCAGCGTTAAGCTGCTATTTTACGCTGGTTTTCTGTGAGAACGTGGTCCTTCCCCGGTCGAGCCGACCCATTCGTGCTACAACTATACTACTAATATAGCTGCAGCATGGCTCTACCATGTAAAAAACCTAAAATTAATATGTAAGCCTTTTTATTTCTTATAAATTTCATACGCTCTCTATAAGGAATTCCTGCAAGGTACACATTTAAATAGCAATTAATTGTCATATTTTTGACTTTATAAGCCAAATTATTTTTTAATCGTAAGATTCGGGTTTTTGCTTTGACACATCCTTATACGCGCAATAACTATATTTCAATACATTTATAGAGATTCAAAAAAGTTAATAACCATTGCAACGTTGCTTTAATAATTTAACTATCGACTTAGTTACGGACTTGGAATTTCGCAGTTACAGAGTTTTCATGTTACGTACAAGGAACCCTTGTTATTTCGTTCTGTTTATCTCTTTTAATGTTAACGTGTAATTTTTAATGCACAAAATAAACAAAATATGTTCTCAATTCAAATACTCGTAACTAATAATTTTATTATTTTTTAATAAATATCCATCTATTAAAAATCTGGTTTGAGGTTGTATTTTTTTTTGCTCGTACAAATATTAAGGAGAGTTGGTCAAAAAAGTATGTAACAAGAAATATTTCACCAGCCTTTTTAAATAGTAATTTAAACGCCTATTTTTTTTTTTAATGTAATGTAAAAATGTGATGTACTTTGCAACCAGCAACCGTTAAATTAATTTTATTTCAGAAAGTAAAGTTAACGTGTACAAGCTCCGGGTTTCTTCTTATTACTTTTTACAGGCCACCGCGCTGTCCAAATGCATGTTGACATACTTCTTATTATATTATGTCCTTGAAGACATTTCTATTTAATTTTCCAGACATGCAAGTTTATTTAATTTTTTTTAACTATTATATGCTTGTGCTTGACTGTTATAATGTAAATCACAATATTCTCCTATACCGCCACGTAGTGTATTAGCATATAAAATTGCGAATGAAAATTGCATTACTACTGGCGGTGTTCTAACTCGGTATGGGAACGGCTCTACAGAAAATTTTATTCTAACTAATTTAGTTGATTTCCTGTGTAGTGACGGCGTAGAAGAATCTCTTACCTTATCACGTGTGTGTCATAAGAGGCGACATAGGAAAATTAAAGAGGACATGGGTGGTAGCATCTTCCTATCATTACAGGCCTTCACAAGTCCACTGCTGAACATAGGCCTCCCTCAAGGAACGCCACAAAGCGCGGTCACGAGCCACCTGCATCCATTGACTTCATGCATGTCTTACCAGGTCGTTACTCCATCTAGTGGGAGGACGCCCTGCACTTCGCCTGCCGGCATGAGTAAACCACTCGAGAACCTTTCTTCCCCATCGGTTGCCGGTTCTTCGAGCTATTCGGTTTACACTTTGTAGAGCCATGTTGCAGCTATATTAGCAGTATAGTTGTAGCACGAATGGGTCGGCTCAACTGGGGAAGGACTCATCAACTAGCAAATTAACACTGCTGTGTTTCGTATGGTGAGTGTAGAGAACCTGAGACCCTTTTTACTGGAAAAGAGGCATTCCATCTTAGTCCTCATGGGTGATCACCCATCTGCATTTCGATTCGCAAACGAGGATAGATGTAGATGTCTATGGGCCACAGCAATCACTTACCATCAGGTGGGCTGTGTGCTCCATTGTCACCCTATCTTATAAAAAAATATGGCCAGCCCATTGCCACCTCAGCTTACTAATCCGTTGGGCTATGTTATTTACTCTGGTTCTACTGCGGACATTCTCGTTTTTAATTATCACGCAGAGAAATCCGGAGCATAACCCTCTACGTCTTCCTGATAATAACCTAAATACTTAATAAAATTCTTTGCTTGCTTACCCGCCTACCAAGCATAGCAACTATAGCAATTATTCCCCATGGGGTAATGAATTGGGAGGTTTATGTTCAGCAGTTGTTAGAAGCTGTAATGAATAAATTTATGAAAAAGTTTGTTGTTTTTTTTAAATAACGTTACTCCTACCCTAGGATTTACACACAGACCCGAAAACATTATTTGTAACCCATACACACGTTTATTGTGGAATTCTAGCCTGTGGCTTTCAGTGCCGCAGCTTATTACTAAGCCACTCTGCCACAAATCCGTTTAATTTTTTATAGGATAGGGTGACAAACGAGCACACAGTCCACCTGACACAGTTCACAGCAACCAATTACCAGTGGTTGCTGTGAAGCATAGATATCTACATCTATCCTCAATAGAGAATCAAAATGCAGATGCGTTGTCACCCGTGAGGACTAAGATAGAATGCCTCTTGTCCAGTAAAAAGGGTCTCCGGTTTTCTACACTGACCATACGAAACACAGCAGCGTTAAGCTGTTATTTTACGCTGGTATTCTGTGAGAGTGTGGTCCTTCCCCGGTCGAGCCGACCCATTCGTGCTACAACTATACTACTAATATAGCTGCAGCATGGCTCTACGACGGCAATAGTCTATAATATAAAAATGAATCGCTGAATGTGTTGCTAAGCGCAAATCTCGAGAGTAGCTGAACCGATTTTGCTAATTCTTTTTTATAATATTCCTTTAAGTACGAAGATGGTTCTTACGGAGAGAAAAATTTAAAAAATTGCCTGGAAAAGTCTAAAAACAACATTTTTCTATATTCCCATATAAAAGATTCGTAATAATACTTAAAAGTCAATTTGAACTTTAATACCATACCATAAAGTTTAAGTGTTAGTGGAGGGGTTCCGGGAAGGCAAAATAATAGAGTGATGTTAGTATCGTATAAATATTAATGTCAATATTTGTCAAAATTTATACACACTGGCAGATAGCTGATGTTATAAGGAGTAACTTGGGCTGCTTTTATTTTAGGGTTCCACGAAAAATAACTCCACGCGGGCGAAGTCGCGGTGAACAGTTAGTACCATAATAATAATACCACGTATAATATTATGTTTTGTTCTTAGGTGGTGTTTGGTCACTGCGTAACCTCTCCATCACCGTTCCCCGAGCTGTTTTATCGGGAGAAGGTCAATCAGCGTTGCTTCGTTGCTCTTACGACCTGGAAGGTGCCGCCCTTTACTCTATCCGGTGGTATCGAGATGAGTACGAGTTTTATCGGTACGTGCCGCGAGAGTTACCGCCAACCATGGTATTCCCTTTACCAGGAGCTACGGTGGATGTGAGTACAGAGTTCTTAATCATCATCATCATCATTACAGCCCTTCACAAGTCCACTGCTGAACATAGGCCTTAGCAATAGTAATATAGTAATAGCCATAGTTCTTAATAAATGATATTAATTAAACATAATGTAGCAAAATAATCTGACCACGCTGTCGTACGAATTTGTACAAAAGTATCAAGGAATGAAATATGTAAAATCTTTGTTTTATTTTCTTCTTCTTTCTCAATCGGTTTAAGTTCAAGGCACAACATAAGCCTTCTCAAGAACGCGTGCATTACTAACGCTTGATTCCTATATTCAAGAAAGGTTTCTTTCTCCGTAACGATCCGCTTTATTAGATTCAAGATGTATGTAAAAACATTTTATATTACGAACTGTTCATTCAGCAACTTAGGTTGACAATTGTTTTATAGAAGAGGGGGCAATCGGGCGTGCTGCACACCTGATTGTAAGTGTCTACCACCACTAATGAACAACAGCAATACAGCAGCAATACTCTACTCGTTTCTTGGAGTCCTCTAAGTCGTATGGGTCCGGAAAAATCACTGATGGTAAACGAGTCCACAAAGTAGTAGAAACTCCTAGTAAATCGCACAGTAGTGGATTGTCAAGCATCCGGATGATGTGAATGGTGGTAACGTAGGATTTGTCGCGATATGCGTTATTAACTTGGTGGCTGAAATCAATCCGAGCAATTCCTCAGAGAGCGAAATGTTTAATAATAGGGTTCTCATGTACTTTATTTACTGAAAAACGGCTCGTAAAATGAAACGAAGCGTTTTTAAATATAGAAACACAGTATCAGAAGTTTATCACAATCAGTCAGTTAACGGGTTGTTGAATTCAAAACCAATATCCTCGGACTGTGCCACTGATGATTATGCTCCCCACTGGCAATCGGTTTTAAACGGTTAACTTATCTTCATCATACGGGAGAATCTGCACAGAGAGAATACATATTTTTTTTGTATGAATTTATTTCATCGTCCACTACGACAAGTCCACTGCTGAACATAGGCCTCCGCCAAGGAATGCCACAAAGCGTAGTCCTGAGTCACCTGCATCCACCCACTTCCTGCATGTTTTACCAGGTCATAATTTCATCTAGTGGGGGGTCACACTACACTTCGCCTATCGATATGAGGCTGAAACTTTTTCCCCCATCGGTCCTGTGTTCTTTGAGCTATATGGTCGGCCAATTGCCACTTCAGCTTTCTGATCCGTTGGGCTATGTCGGTTACTCTGGTACTGCTGTATATTTCATCGCTAATATGAAATCTATAAAATATAAATGAATATTTTCCATTATTATTTGGAGTTGTTTAATAAGCAGTTTAGATAAAACAAACTTACAAAAAGTCACTTTTCTTTTGTTTAACTAAACAGTTAACAAGATCGGATGATCACCAAGTCTTCATCGTGAATTTGAACCGCAGACTTAGCGGAGTCTATCTCTGTGAGGTATCTGCAGACGCTCCGCTGTTCCACACAGACATACGTTCAGCGCCACTTACAGTTGTTGGTAAGTATATTTTATAATTTTTCACCAGCTTGCCATAATCCACTAATGCGTTACCCGGCAGAGGTCGTAAGAGGTGATAGAGGAAAACTGCAACAGGTGTTAAATGAAACTAATTTTTACGAATTTTAACCTTTCGTATATTAACTTATTTTAAGTACTTTATTGCACCCATGGTCACGGAGGGAGGTAGGGGGGGGGGGTACGAGGGGTACTTGGATGTTCAACATCCTAATGTCTTAGATACCACGGCTTCCTTTACTTAAAATTATTAATTTTCGGTCCGACCTACGCATAATGAACTTATAATATTTTGAAGTCTTGCAATTGATTGGGTTGGGATTTTATTTTAATAATTATAGGATCGAAAGCAGATGGTAGCACCTAGCCATCTTCTCTAGTGAAATTAGGATGATTTTTGATTTCCATAGTCCCGTTTTATTAACAATTATTAATGAATAATAATTATTCAGTTAATTAGATTAGATTAAAAAGAATTAGATTAATAATTGAACTTAATTAATGAAAGAAATTTAGTGAACCAGGAGATGGGCAATATAATCTTCCTGATGTTATCTGAATAAAAATAAAAACTGCGCTTGCCAACCCGCTTGCCAAGCGCGGTAAGTATATGAAATATCTCATCTACAGGGAGTAGTTTTTATATTTTTTTATTTTAAACAGTGGTAGAGCCACGTGGCAGCTTTTGCTGTCGCACGGATGGGCCGGCTCGAACCAGGGTGGTACCACGATCTCACAGAAAACCAGCGTGAAGTGGAGATTTACCTCTGCGTTTCGCTTGGTAAGTGCAGGTGACCGGAGGCCCTTTTTACTGGAAATGAGGCATTCCATCTTAGTCCTCACGGGTGACAACGCATCTACATTTTGATTTGTAATAGAGGATAGATGTAGATGTCTATAGGCCGCAGCAACCACTTACCATCAGGTGGACTGTGTGCTCGTTTGTCACCCATATTCTATAAAAAAAAAGGGAGGCCTATGGTCAGCAGTGCATTCTTGATAGGATGTAAAGGTAAAATGGTAATGGTACATAATGAACCCTAGATTAGAGACACTTGCCATAAATGTAAAGCTTAACTTCGATTTCAGAAAATTTTCATATCCTTGTAATTTCTTAATGCAAATGATTATTTGGTTTTACTTAGATATGCCATTCCACGCACCACGTCTGACGATCTCTCGTAGAATTTACGAAAGAAACGACGTACTTCATGCAAACTGTTCAGTAGACGAAGCCTATCCAGCACCAAATATCACTTGGGTACTTGACAATCAAAAGGTCAGTAAATTTGTTAAACACAAGTGGGATTTTACTGTAGTTTTCGACACCAGTTTGCTTACCATTAAGACCGTAGTTATTGAATATTCAAGTTCTTTACCTTTTCACAGATAGCAGAAATGGTTTCAAAACAGACATTGGATCTTGATTTCAAGGAACGCGCTGTGTTCAGTCAGCTAGAAATTGTTATTCGCGAGATTAACGGTTATAACACAGAAGCGATATATGGTAATGGGTATCATGAAAGCACCTATACAAGTCAACCTGATCACTATCAAATTAGTGAAAGGAGTTACGTGGAGCGTTTGAGGTATTTATTATAAAATGTTATAAATTATAAGATAATACTGATGGTTTGGCAGAAAAATGGCTGTGCGATAGGTTGGAGTTTCAATTTAAATTCTTACACTCTAAAAAAGTATTGAATTTCCTACAAACATGTAAGCGGTATTTTAGGTCTGGGTTTCTCTGTGATACAGATGAAATTTTTAGTGTAAGAGTATTTCTTTTAAAGAACAAAGAATAAAGAAAAGAAAAAAATTACCATGGTAACCCCCATTAAAGCCTTTCACAAGTCCACTGCTGGAAATAGCCCTAAAAAAAGGAATAACCCACAAAACATGAGCCACCTACAACCTTCAACTTCTGCAAGCTTTACCAGATTGTTTCTCTGTCTAGTGAAAAATATCCGCCACTCTTGCCAAGTTATGGTTAAAGAACCCGACGAATTAGTAAGCTGAAGTAGCAATGAGCTGGCCATATAGCTCGAAGAACCGACAACCGATGGGGAAAAAGCCTCGTAAACCAACTAGATGGAGTGAGGACCTAGTAAGATATGTAGGAGGTCGATGGACATTGCGTTGTGGCATTCTTTGGGGGATGCCTATGTTCAGGCATCCCCCAAAGAACATAGTTCGTAATGTTTGTAAAATTTATTTAAAAAAACGTCCCGTTGGGTTTCTTACTGGTTCTTCCCAGGACAGAGGGTTTTTTTTTCGAACCAGTGGTAAAGTAAAAAATGACTATCAATAAGAATTACATATGTAATGTATATTGAATAAAAAATATTCTATTCTATTCTATTCAGCAGTGGACTTTTGAAGAGCTGTAATTATGATGATGCTGAACGAACCCATCACTCGCTTTCATTTGCGTGACGCATTCGTCGCTTTCCAGTACGAATAACACTGATCGCTTCCAAGATGTTTCTTATATGACTGTTGTAAAAAATTATACAGTTTATTTTATATAGTGTTTATTTAATGTTTATTAAATGTTACTGTGGTAAAAATGTCCTGCAAAATTTCTTGCTGATTCTCACCAGCTTGCAGTATTCCGAACCAATGGTCATAGTAAGAAATTACTTTCAATAAGATCTATTTATAATCTATATTGAAAAATAAAATTATTCTATCCTCGAGAACCCATCTTTGCTTGCCTATTGCAACCTTTTGCGTTACATAACCGTATAAGAAATAAGAGTAGGCTTAATGCCTTTACCGCAGATGTCTTAAAAATGTGTAATATTTGACTAAAGTTCAGCCTTTTTATCCTTTTGGTTTTTGTAAATTTTTGTCTGTTATAAATTTCTTCAAGGTACATCATGTTTCCACCACAAAGCGGACAGTTCACAATTAATTGTATAGCAAGCATATATGACGTGTATGAAAGGACAAGTGAGTTGCGTTACATAAAAGAAGACAATCCTCGACCAGCTTCTGTAACTGGGGAAGACTCTTCAGGTAATTTGTTTTCAGCAACGTATTATTTGCTTGATATAACAAAGCAAGTCTGATCAATCAATCAATCAAAAATATTTATTTCGGATTCAAATGGATGAACTTCTTACTGTTTCTAATAGCTATGGAGCTGTTAGAAAAACTAAAAAAATATCCTGGTGTTAGTAATATTAATGACATAATATCACTTGCGCCAGGCTGAGGGACCGACGCATGCAGACAAATCCATTTGTATAAAATCAGTTATATAAAAGCTTTTAGAAAAATTTTTACTTCGGAAATATCCGCGTTGTAAAATAAAATGATGTGTCTTATCTAGTATGAAGAGCACCTCCCGCCATCCCTCAATTGCGTGCACTATCCCCGTCACCACTAATTCCAGCATTATCGTCAGTGGTGTGTCTTGCCTAGTGTAGTGGTGTTGGGAGTAGCGGTACTGGGATTAGTGGGGACGGGGATAGTGCACGCAATTGAGGGAGGGCGGGAGGTGCTCTTCATACTAGGTAAGACACATAATTTTATTTTATAACGCGGATATTTGCGAAGTAAAAATTTTTCTAAAAGCTTTTATATAATGGATTTCCGCAAAGTAACGCCTGATTCTATTAATTATAAAAGCAATTAGTTTGTACCTCGGCAAACGTAGTCAAAGCACTGGCTTATAATAAGTAAAAAAAAAAATAATTTTATTTTGTTTTCAGGTGTAACGACGCTCTGCAATTTGTTCTTCATGTGCATCTGTGTCTGTACGTCCATACTGGGTCGTATGTTATGACTATCAGCTAAATAATTGTTTGCAATATTTGTTGGATGTGTCAATATTTGTATTATTAAAATAAATGTTAGAAAACATGCGCCAAAATATTTAATATTTGTAAATTGAAATTTATTATCACTGATTGCCAACATTTGTTCATTATGTCATTTAGTAGTTTAGGAATTACGTACGTAATTGTAAACTTGATAATTAGAAATTATATACATGTTAGTATTGTTTTTTTTTAAATTATTGCAGTTAATATATATTACTGAAATTATTTTGATGTATAGTAGGTTATGATTAAAAGGCGCTTTATATAAATGACAACAGCAAAATGTAAATATATTGTTAGTCGTTACGACGCCTCACTGAAAGTTTTATTTTCTAAGAGAAATTTTATTGACGCACCTTTGTTAAAACGCCGTTCAACCTCGTGCAGATCGAATGTTTATTTTTATACTAATAAGGATGATGAGTAGAGGATGCTGCAGCTATAAATTCTCCTGTACTTGTCCTCGATTAAAAATCAAAATATACAACCACTCACTGTTTGATAGTCATATTTTCTCCTTAAGCTCTCACTTTAAGCGATAAAACCGCTTATATTACCTATTAGGGATCCAACGTGGACTGTATTAATTTACTTTGCAAGTGGACTGTATGACTGACTACGCTATGGGACTGCTTAAAGAAAAGATGGTACTAAGAACTATACTGTATTCAACTATTTACAAATGTGGCACTAATAAACTATATACAGAGGGGAGTCTTCTGGATTTCTCTGGAGTCTTGATTCTTCTTGATTTCTCTTGCTGTTTCTTCTCTTCGAGTGCTGCTTCCAAAATGAACAACTCACAGACCAAAACGCCCTTCTTATATCCCGCAAGAGAGCGTCTCGGTTCGTGAGTAGCGTCGTAAGGCGATGCCGCGTACTGATTGGTCGGCGACATCGCGTAATCTGCTGCCAGTGTGCGGGGTGCGCGGGGCGCAACGGGGTGTGAAGGGGCGGCGACCTCCTTCGCTGTCCGCTACATTACCTATTTTTTAAGTTATGTTACAAGCGTCAGAAGTGCGAAGTAATATCTCATGTCAGTCCATCTGCCAATTATCAACATTTTGGAACCACTCTACATTAAATGGAACTATGCTTATGGACTATGCTTAGCAATGTACATTAAACGGCTGATGAAGGAACAAAAAAAAAGAAGAAACATTGAAACTTATGTATAAAGAGATCAACAATCCCAGAACAAGAAATAAATAAATGTATCTCTCACCGCTCAACACGCGTACATGCAAATGCACTTGCGCGCACGCAAGTAAAACCATGTTGGTTGCAAATCGTTTTAGGAGCATAATATATATAATTATAAAAATATCTTACAAACCGAATTTCGGTTACGGCGGCCAGTTTAAAAAAATACTAGCCACCTGTGTGTGGTAATTAAGCAAAAGAGTAACTTTCAATAAGTATTCATCATCATGATCATTACATCCCTTCACAAGTCCAATGCTGAACATAGGCCTGCCCCAAGAAATGCCACAAAGCACGGTCCTGAGCCACCCGCATCCATCGACTTCCTGTATATCTTACCAGGTCGTCACTCCATCTAGTGCGGGGACGCCCTACACTTCGTCCGCCAGTACGAGGCTGCCACTCGAGAACCTTTTTCCCCATCGGTAGTCGGTTCTTCGAGCTACATGGCCGGCCCATTGCCACTTCAGCTTACTAATCCGTTAGGCTATGTCGGTCCCTCTGCTTCTACTGCGGATATCCTTATTTCTAAGTTAATCATGCAGAGAAACTCCGAGCATAGCCCTCTCCATAGCTCGCTGAGCGACCTTGAGCTTCCTCATACGGCCAGCAGTGAAGGACCACGTCTCAGTTCCATAGGTCATCACTGGCAACACGCACTGGTTGTACAGTCTCGTTTTCAAGTTTTGAGGTATACATGAAGATGTGCCGTAATTTCCCGAACGCTGCCCAACAGAGTTGAATCCGCCGATAAGTATTAGTTATAATCTAATAGCTGGTACCCGGCACGTTGCTGCCGCAGAAGATATAATTGTGGAAATTTCGTTTTAAATCTGTACGAGTATATTATTTTGTTAGGAATAATAAAACTATTACTGAATTTGGATGATATAACTCTTAAACAAATTATCGGTACGAAACGCGCGCCACTTAGTGTAAGTAAATTGTGCTATGCCTATAACCTTCGCGCAAGTGTAAGCAATTAGTTGACAAAGTTTTACCGCAATCCAATGAACGATATGGCAGCGCATAAAATACGAACAAACAGATAATATTTTTTATATATTAGATTTTGAAAAAAAATCTGTTTCTGTTTCTGTGTAGGATAGGATCATAATGCACAATAAATCTCATAGTCGGACAGGGCAGTAGTCCTACACGACCTGAGAGAGATCAGGCAAAGGACCAAAGGATTTACGTGCTTTTCTGAGGCACTGGGGTGAAACAACGACAATTTCCCGACTCCTGACTGCTACTGAGAATATATTGACAGAAAACCCCAATAACTAATTTCGAGTTAACCCCGGATTTGTACCCAGGACATGATTATCAACAATCGCGATTACGACCACTAGACAAA